CTCCCAGAAGGGCTGGTTGACTGACGTGCGTTATGCGAGGTCGGCCTTCCGCCGAAGATCGTATAATCGTCTAGCAACGGAGCTCGTCCGTTGCAGACATCTTTGGAGACGGCTGCATCCAATGTGTAGTCCCAACTGGAGTCCGTATCGTTTTTGTAAACATTGAAAAACAAAACAGAAACAAGAGCTGTTAAAATACCGGGTTTCCAAACAAGGCATTATTCACAAGCAAATAAAAGTCAGTTCAATGACTTTTTGGCACTGCCAGCACAGCTTAAATCGAATCGGAATTAAATAGTCAATTGGAATCTCCATGCATTTTATCGGGAAAATCACGTAACTTCTACGTGATAATCCAGTGACGTTGAAGCTCACTGAATTGAGTGCCTCCATATGAGAATCACGTAAAGCAAGCACCACACGGGCAAAAATATTGTCAATACTCAAAAGTATATACAATCATATTGATACAAACATTGACGACGGAAATATTGATGAACATATTGACGTAAAATTAGAAAAGTTTGATTTCATCTTTCAATATTTCCCCTCATTTTCTCCTTCTGTTTGACTACAGCAGCAGATGGTGCCTGTTTCTTGGTAACTTTTGTCAAGGTTGTTGTGATTTGACTCGCAATATTCCATCGGATGCATACATGTTAGTGAGGAGCGACTCTGTATGGATGAACCCCAGAAAATATTGTAGAAAATATTGACATGAAATAATTGATGGAAACATTGACAAAACTTCTGTCGTGTGGGGTGCACTTAAGTCTTACGGGAAAAATAGTAGCATTGATGTGAGGATTATTTTGAGTGTGTTTCCAGTATCTGACCGAATGCGATTGCTTGGGGTCCAAGACTGCATCAACTGATGATTGCTTTACTACTTAAGATTGGTAGGTGAGGGTGGTTGTTGTTGTTGCTCCAGGAAAGTGTGTATTGGGAAAAAAAAAGTTGAACTTCGGATCAGAAATTGGCTCCACTTTTCATTGGCGAACACTAGCGCACCTAGCGGTAGAAGGCATCTTCTGCCTGCAGTTAAGATAGGCAGCGTGCTATGGTAGTGTGAGTGCGCATAGAAAGCCCATGTGGAATACCTCCATAGAGGTAACTCTAAGACCAGAAGGTCCCGAAGAAACGTGCTCAACTTTTTGGCTCAGCTCTGGTACTATCTTCGGTCCCAAGCTAATCGATTCACCCCTCGAAACATAGGAAAATCCACTAACCCCTCATTTGATCTGTCAAACTTTCATAGCGAATCAAAACAAACATAGTGTAGTACTAGAATTTCGACTAGAATGGGCTACGTAAATCGATTTGCTTGGGACTAATAGCATAGAGGTAACTCTAAGACCACTGGGTCCCGAAGAAAATCATTATTATTTTTGGCTCACTCAGTACCAGAACAACGGTCCCAAGCAGTCCCAAGCTATTTCACTCACCCCTGCATGTTCTGCATGAATCCACACACCCCTGATGTTATCTGTCAAACTTTCATAGCGAATCAAAACAAACATAGTGTAGTAATAGAATTTCAACTAGAATAGGGTACGTTAATCATTTGCTTGGGACCAATAGGCTACTAAAGTGGTGAGCCAATTTAAAATCGTTAGTTTCGTATTGATTGTTGATACCTCCACAACGCATCGCTTGTTGAGCAGCAAAATTTACCAGTTTTGTGATTCACCGATTTGTTTGCACTTCCCATTCTGTTTTGTGGTAGTGGCCTAAACTAGGGCCTAAAAGAATCTGCAGCTTTATTTGCGATTTTTTCTACAATGCGATTGACTGAATGCGAAAACCGCGCGATTTAGAAAGTGACAGTAAACATTAACACACTAAAACCAACAATCAATACGAAACTAACGATTTTAAATTGGCTCACCACTTTAGTAGCCTATTGGTCCCAAGCAAACGATTAACGTACCCTATTCTAGTTGAAATTCTATTACTACACTATGTTTGTTTTGATTCGCTATGAAAGTTTGACAGATAACATCAGGGGTGTGTGGATTCATGCAGAACATGCAGGGGTGAGTGAAATAGCTTGGGACTGCTTGGGACCGTTGTTCTGGTACTGAGTGAGCCAAAAATAATAATGATTTTCTAAGGGATCCAGTGGTCTTAGAGTTACCTCTATGGTGGTAGTGATTTGACTCGCAATATTCCATCGGATGCATACATGTTAGTGAGGAGCGACCCTGTATTGATGAACCCCAGAAAATATTGTAGAAAATTTGCCCAAGGCTGAAAGCCTCCCTAATAAAGATAAATTAATTAATTAATTGTAGAAAATATTGACATGAAATAATTGATGGAAACATTGACAAAACTTCTGTCGTGTGGGGTGCACTTAAGTCTTACGTGAAAAATAGTAGCATTGATGTGAGGATTATTTTGAGTGTGTTTCCAGTATCTGGCCGAATGCGACTGCTTGGGGTCCAAGACTGCATCAACTGATGATTGCTTTACTACTTAAGATTGGTAGGTGAGGGCAGTTGTTGTTGTTGTTGCTCCAGGAAAAAGTGTATTGGAAAAAAAAGTTGAACTTCGGATCAGAAATTGGCTCCACTTTTCATTGGCGAACACTAGCGCACCTAGCGGTTCAAGGCATCTTTTGCCTGCAGTTAAGATAGGCAGCTTGCTATGGTAGTGTGAATGCGCATAGAAAGCCCATGTGGAATGCCTCCACAACGCATCGCTTGTTGAGCAGCAAAATGTACCAGTTTTTTGATTCACCGATTTGTTTGCACTTCTCATTCTGTTTTGTGGTAGTGGCCTACCCGAAAAAAAATAACAACAAAAATACAATAAAAAATAATGTAACAATAAGACGAAAATTATTGTCTTAACAATGATTTATATTGTTACGTCTACAATAAATTTACCTTGATTTATGTTGTACAAAACAGTAAATTTCATGGTAAATGGAAAATTTACAATAAAAAAGGGGGGTTGTTAAGTATCTTAACAATGAAATTTTCGTGATTTCCCCATACAATTTTTTTTCAAAAACATTATATATTATTGTTATTTTACTGTTGGTTGGCGAATTTAGTGATTAAAAAAATAACAGTGTACTTTAGAGTGTATGTGTTGGCTTGACAGATCTACTTTATCGACTTTAAAAATAAATCGAAAAAATAAAACATCGCCCCGGGAAGTGAAGGGGGTGGTATGTATGTTACGGGTGATTCCTTTTTTTACTGGTTATGGATTGAGATTCGATCCGGAACTTGTGAGAAATGGAAGCCAACTCCCCTGCACTCGATCTCTCTAGGTCACGTCTCCTTGGTGGTTGAGGGTCGTTGATAAGTTAATGCATTCAACTGGAGAGAATCGCCCATGAAATATGCTTCCACCTGAGAGTTATTTCATGACATTTTCAAGTGGTGGATTTTTCTATTATTATTGTATGATTATTGACTGCACGGAAAAGGTCTGCATTAAGTGGGATTTAGATGATACAGGAGAGTTGAGTTCAACTCAAACCGATCTGGTCGTAGGCGTTCAATTGACTTGGCAACGAATAGAGCCAAACGAACTGTCAAAGCAAGAGCCATATGAGCAGCGCCTATCTTGATTACATTGGCAGTGTTGCTGACCCTCTCATAGTCTGCATGCTTCAATCAGATTTATTTTTATTGTTCGTGAAGTAACCCACAATGAAAACACACCAATATTTAATGTAACAACAATTTTTATTGTAATAGAGTTGTTCATTATTGTTCGTGATCGAATCATGTTAACAATAAAATAAATGAAAAATACAATAAAAATCGTTGTAACAACATTTTATTATGTACATTCATTGTACAGATAGGTAGCAGTTTTGCCGTTTTCGGAAGGGTACAACATTATAACAATCATTTTTATTGTCGACAATAAATATTAATGTCAGAGCATTGTTTCCACTGAAAATTTCACTGTAATTTGTTTTTCGGGTAAACTAGGGCCTAAAAGAATCTGCAGCTTTATTTGCGATTTTTTCTACAATGAGATTGACTGAATGCGAAAACCGCGCGATTTAGAAAGTGACAGTAAACATTAACACACTAAAACCAACAATCAATACGAAACTAACGATTTTAAATTGGCTCACCACTTTAGTAGCCTATTGGTCCCAAGCAAACGATTAACGTACCCTATTCTAGTTTAAATTCTATTACTACACTATGTTTGTTTTGATTCGCTATGAAAGTTTGACAGATAACATCAGGGGTGTGTGAACTCATGCAGAACATGCAGGGGTGAGTGAAATAGCTTGGGACTGCTTGGGACCGTTGTTCTGGTACTGAGTGAGCCAAAAATAATAATGATTTTCTTCGGGACCCAGTGGTCTTAGAGTTACCTCTATGCTAAAACTTATTAGAATAAATAGATAAATAATTCTGACTCACCCAAGATTATCGATAAATAGTGGCTGAAATCGGATGATATCGGCAGGTGCGTGTTATTATTCTTTATTAATCAAATTTATCTAAACACTTCTGAATTATTAGGCAAATTTTATTTAAAACTGTTAAATGAAATCTAGATAGAGCTGGAATTAGGTCGTAATAGCTTTTGTAAACAATGACTTCGCTCGATGATTTCTAGACAGTCAAGGCTCGTCCTTCCTACCGGATCTTACCGACGCATTTTTTTTACAAGGTCAACGATCTGAATGCATCCCAAACATTTTTGACCAACGAGATAAGGATATATGCATAAATCAAGTAGACTGGGGGAGAGCAAAGCAAACAGATGCACTTCCCACGGAATGCTCACGATCACCATCCGTATCCACCGTGGTGGGTTGTGTCTCAAGATTGCACCACTCGCAACGCACGAGAGAATGGTAAGATATGATACACATATAGATATAAGCCCGAAGACATCTAGCTTTATCATCCCGACGCTGTTGACTAACTATCTGATAACGGTGGGGTGGTGGTCCAGCTTTCAGATTATTTCCATGAATCACGGCTAGTCAGATAAATCGTGGCTCGTTAGTAGATCACATCGTTTTGACTGGGATACAGTGTTCTGGTGCTTGATGTCAAACTCTAGTTCGAATCCAGGTGAATTTCTCAAACATGACATCAAATAAAGTGCCGCCGGATGGTGGATATGGGTGGATTGTCGTGATCGGTTGTGCTGTTATAAACGTATGTTTGCCATTAGATTAAGACGTGGCTGATATGATCGTGGCAGTGCTGAGATTTGTCATTGTCATTGAAACACTTCACGCGATATTGACCAAATAATTTTTGGAAGAATTGATTCTCAAAATCGTCAAAAAGTAACAAAAAGCATGCTGTGTCACATTATTGCTATCAACGGCTCCATGGAATTATTTTGCTTAATTAATTTAATTTCGTGCACATGTTCGTCACTGACAATTGACACGGTTTCCCTCGTAGATGACTTTCTGCTCATATGTATGAGCGACCAAAGCTGTTTTGTCAATATCGCCGTGTATGGTCGAGATTATCCAGCACTGGCTCGTGGTTGCTTTATGAAGTTTTCTTTCCTAAGGTGTTCAACCAATCCCTCATATCCGTGTTTGGCTTAATGTTCGGAGATTATTTAACTGCGCTAGGAGCGGATGCGTTTGGAGCGGCACTGGTCATGAATGTGTGCAATATATCCCTCAACTTCTCAGGTAAGAATATTATTCTGTTGTACATAAAGTTCAGAGATAAATTGTTATTCTAAAAACTAGGTCTAATCACTGGACCAATCATAAAAAAATTAAAAACGAGAAAAGCATCTATCCTGGGAAGCTTACTCACTGGAGCTGCTTTAACAGCTTGCGCATATGCAACACAGATGTGGCAAATCTTACTGTCGTATGGCGTAGCGTTCGGATTCGGTTTGGGGCTGATTCAGTCATCCACTTTTGTGGCAGTAAACTCTTATTTTCGGAACAATAAGGGAAAAGCGGTGGGATTAGCCTTGGCTGGTACGGGACTTGGGCAAATACTAATGCCATTGCTGGTTCAATTTTTACTGGATATTTTTAGCTTCCGGGGAACAACGTTGATCATCGGTGGATTAGCATTCAATGGAGTATGATTTGAAGTGCGAATATTTGTGTACATTTGTCTAAAACTGTTAACATTTGCAGCTAGTTGGCGCAGCTCTGTTACAACCTGTCGAATGGCACATGCGGATCGAGACAGACGAAGAAGCTTCGAATGAAAGGATTCCTCTTTTGGACAGTGCTAACAATTCATCGAACACATCGAAAAAGTCCGATAGTGGATGGTCCAAGCTAGCTGCATTGATGGACGTGGCCATACTGAAACGGGTATCGTTTCTCAATTTGATTATTGGGCTGGGCCTGGCATATACGGCGTCAACAAACTTCTCGTTATTCTTTCCCTATTTTCTACAGGTAGGTACTTGCAACATGTTCTCTGCCATTTTTACAGGAAATTCAATATTTGCTTTTCCCCAGAAAACAGCAAACCTCGACATGTTTCAAGCAGCGAACTGCATGTCCATTCTGTCGACGACCGATCTGCTCACTCGTATCACAGTTCCGGCCTTTGTCGATAAGATGAAGTTCTCGCACAGAACTACGTTCCTCATGGCTGGGCTGTGCCTCGTCATTGCGCGGTCGATCATGGCCGAAATGCGAAATCTCATCGCACTGATGATAACCTCCGCTTTCTATGGAATCTTCCGATCGATTACGATTGTGAACCAAAATCTTACAATCGCTGAATATTGCTGCGAAAAAGGCTTGCAATCGATGCTACCCAATGCATTGGGTTTCAACATGATTGCCAAAGGTATTTTAGTTTTAAGCTTAGGACAGCTTCTCGGGTGGTTTGTGGATTATACCGGAAGTTACTCGCTGAATTTGCATGCGCAAAATTTGCTACTGATATCGACATGCATTTTGTGGCTTTGTGAGTTGTATTTCAAGTACAAGGATTAGGAAATTTTAAAAGCAAACCCGTTCTACGCAAGTTCCAAGAAATTGGACTAATTTTTTTGTATATTTCTTCATCCGAAATTTCACTATGAGCCATGTATCAAACATGTGCAAATGGAGCTGCAAATGGGGTGACAGCATGGTTTCTTTTAAACAAATTTAATCGAGAACCCAACCAAAAGATGCTGCACCACGCGATGTGATAGCTGCAGAAAACGAACATTTCGTACTTGGAATAAGGTCTACCCCAATGGGTAAGACAGCTCCTAATCATGAGCAATTTTAGAGTTGCTTTTGGAGGCACCTCGAGTAACTCACGTTTCTCAGGCTGTGGTCCATTTGGTGAATTTTCACTTAAATTTGACACTTCGAAACTAAATTATAATGTTCGAAAATCCCTCTGTTGTTGATCGGCCAATTTTCGAGAAGGTGTGTGTCAAAATTGATTCCTTGTCTGTCAGATATAAGTCTGCTGGAATAGCAGGTTAATTTGGAAATTTTCCATCTGTCAAGTTTAAGTGAAAATTCGCCAAATGGAACACAGCCTCAGTGAGCAAGATCACTGTCATTTGCATTCTCACTTTTCACATCACAGCAACATATGAAAGTGCGAAGCCTAAAAGCTGCTGTCAAGCAAAACAACAACAAACAACCGGCTTGATGTGGTAGAAGAACTCGATCCGCCTGATCAAATACTCCAGATAATTATACGTACCTTGCCGTCCTCCGATACTCGTCGAAGCGATCCCGTCCCCATCGCTCAACAACCTGCCGCTAGATGAAACTGCGATCGTGAGATTCTGCTGCGGCCGTCGAAGGAAGTCTCCGTTGAAATTGAACATAACTTCTTTAAAGAAAATATTTCATCCAGTAGGAAAAAAGTTGTTTTTTTAAATTATTATTCATTGTATTTGGAGCATGTTTCGTTTTTCGGTTTCTCGTCAGCAAAGTCTATAGCGATGATCCTGTACTTGGTTGGATCGGATTTTCTCTTTCGAAAATCTTCAGATCGCCAAGAACCCTTTCCTTCCACTCTTTCTGAACCATCTCCAGTAGCTTGGAGCGAACGCAGAACATTTGTTCTCAGTATTCCTCACCGGTTTTCACTTCGATTTCATCGGGTAGATCGATGATGGGTTTGAAGTCCGGATGAGGATCGTACTCACCGGAAACATTGGCAGCTGTGTCTTCAACGTTGTCCTCCTCCTCTTCGACTTCAGCAGTGTCGACTGTGTTGATGCTCTGGCCAGAGCTGGTAAATATCACGGCCGTCATGTGAAAATGAGAAAACAGGTCCTCTCACTATCACGAGACGAAATTACCTATCATTAGTTTTCTTGTCATTTTCCAATGATCAAGCACTCATGAGAATAATTCTATTGCGGTCTAATAATTCTATTTAATTGCACCTACATTTCTAACTGATTTAGATTAATTCAAGCAAGTAACCGAAGGTAATCGGTAGAGTCAATATATTATTACGATTTTCTTGGTACAAGTAACTTTAAAAGCAATACATGAGCTAGTAATTACGATGATCACAACACTGTCACATTTTGTCATGACGAAAAATTCGATGAGATTTTGAAGAAAATCTCTATCATCGTTTTCTCATCCGATGATAGTGACAGAAGTATTTCTGTAAATATCGCGTGAGATCTTTAATTGAAAATGAAATTTGCCAGCCCTGGCTCTGGCTGAACATTCTGGGGTAGTGGTTGGCAGCGTTTCCTTCGGAGCTGGAATTGGGAATCGGATGTTAATCGGTTTTTATCCAACAGTGATTTCCCACACCGATTTCACGTTCTTCTCGGTGGACATCCACGCCACTGCGCCCCCTTTCGAAGCTTTTCCAGCATCGTTCAAGCCATTTTCTGAACAAAATCTGGAATTCACATCGTTTCAATAGCCAAACAATTCTATTTTGTTTAGAAACAAGACTTACGTCTAATATGTGAAAGGGATAAATGGAGTAAGCCAAGGAGTAACCAGACAAAAACATCGATGAACGTCGACTAAATTTTAAGGTACAGTGAGTTTCTCGCGAGTTACTCGCTGCAAAAAAGCAACTCAGAGTAAAACCAACAATCAATACGAAACTAACGATTTTAAATTGGCTCACCACTTTAGTAGCCTATTGGTCCCAAGCAAACGATTAACGTACCCTATTCTAGTTGAAATTCTATTACTACACTATGTTTGTTTTGATTCGCTATGAAAGTTTGACAGATAACATCAGGGGTGTGTGGATTCATGCAGAACATGCAGGGGTGAGTGAAATAGCTTGGGACTGCTTGGGACCGTTGTTCTGGTACTGAGTGAGCCAAAAATAATAATGATTTTCTTCGGGACCCAGTGGTCTTAAAGTTACCAACAAAAACCATAGAGGTAACTCCATAGAGGTAACTCCATAGAGGTAACTCTAAGACCACTGGGTCCCGAAGAAAATCATTATTATTTTTGGCTCACTCAGTACCAGAACAACGGTCCCAAGCAGTCCCAAGCTATTTCACTCACCCCTGCATGTTCTGCATGAATCCACACACCCCTGATGTTATCTGTCAAACTTTCATAGCGAATCAAAACAAACATAGTGTAGTAATAGAATTTCAACTAGAATAGGGTACGTTAATCGTTTGCTTGGGACCAATAGGCTACTAAAGTGGTGAGCCAATTTAAAATCGTTAGTTTCGTATTGATTGTTGGTAACTCTAAGACCAGAGGTCCCGAAGAAATGTGCTCAACTTTTTGGCTCAGCTCTGGTACTCTCTTCGGTCCCAAGCTAATCGATTCACCCCTCGAAACATAGGAAAATCCACTAACCCCTTATTTTATCTGTCAAACTTTCATAGCGAATCAAAACAAACATTGTGTAGTACTAGAATGTCGACTAGAATGGGGTACGTTAATCGATTTGCTTGGGACCAATAGGCTAGTCAAGTAGTGAGACAATTTAAAATCGTTAGTTTCGTATTGATTGTTGACTGTAGTCTAACGTGAGGGGGGTGACTCTATCTTCGATGCAGAATAGATTGTGTTTTGCTGTGGCTAGCTGCGCGCGGACGCTGAGTAGATAGAAAGAAGATTGATGACGATTTTGAAGATTTCCTGCAAAAAAATGATGCACGATGCAAGATGCGAGAAATTAAAGCAGATATTTCGAATATTGATTCGCTAGTGTGAGATTTTTTGAGCATCTAGAATTGAGATTTAGATGTTTCGCCCCCCTCGGTCTAATATGTGATGCATTTTCTCAAAGGGAGTAAACGAAAGAAAACAAGTCGATGGACGCCCAACAAACAATTTGAGCTGATTAAAAGCTGAATAAGCCAATTTTTAGCAGAAGAAGCAAATTTTGGGCTCTATTAGCTCACATTCAGCATTCAATGCTTGTTGGGCGTCGATCAAAGGGTTGGTCACTCCGCATAGTGTGCCAGAAATACAGACGGGCACACCTGGGCACTTTCATTGGCACCCATGGTTAGAAATTTTCATGATATTTAAAGTTACTGGCAACACTGTACTATATCTGCACCTGCTCTGTGAATGTGTCAAAATGATAATCATTGTTGTTGACACAATGCGATTTTTGATTTCATAACTTCAACCGTGAATTTCCTCACACCGGATATGTTGTCAAAACATTAGAATGAGCGAGGTCATCAAGGCGATGATCTTTGCCAAGTACAACAGTAATCTGAGGGTCTTACTGGAATTCTTCCGGATGGTGCTGGAGTCGCTACCGGAGGACTTCGAGGTCGGAGAACCTCCCCTCAAGACGATCAAACTGTTCGAGGATCTGATGAGGAAGGCTTTGGTGTTTCAGAACAGTTTGATCGAATTTGGGAAGGGGGTGGCATCGTTCCGGAAGCTGATTGAAAAGATGATAATGAAGGGACTAGTACTGCTAGTACTGGTCATAATGCCGATACAGAATGTGATTAGTGAGTTGGTTAGTGGGCACCCCAGCTTTTACAGGTGTTCTCTGGCACTGATTTTTGCCAGAGACATCATACTTCTCTCCATTTGTCCTATCGTTGAACTACCGTGTGAAAATATTAAACCCCACCTTCGCCAGGGAAGTCTGATTCCGGTTGAAATTCCCACTAGAACGCTGACGACGCATCTTTGATTGAGTCGATGGCTTTCGGGAGAAACTCCTCCCCGAAGCGTTCATCAGAATCTGAAGAGCATCTGGACCAGTTTCCTCTGATGATGCACGCTCGCTTCGTCCATTTAACACCGTCACCTGTGGTTCATCCGAGTCCTCATCATACTCCAATCCAGTAGAAGTTGTCGGAAATTGGAAGTGCCTCCCGCGGAGAACGTTATCGCTCCAAGCGTCGATTCGGTGGCTGAGACCGTTGGTTATTAGGTTCAGTGTAGTCCTTTTCTGATAGAATTTGGGAGCAACGAACCGAGAGTCCCGACAGTTAGGATCTGGGATTGGCATTGACGAGAGCTCTGTTACTCTTTACTCCTATGGAGAAATCTCATATGTAACTGTCAGTCTATGTGTGAAACATGGCGGACTTTTTCTTATTCTCTCAACGCAAAACCCCATAAGGAACTGTCAAAATGTGTGTGAAGAAACGTCACTTCGGGACTGGTGTCAAGGCGAATAGGATTCCACTGCTTGTTGTTTTGTTTTTTTCAAAACATAATATGTGAACTGTCAAATTAACCGGGTTGCCAAACAAAAAAATCAGTCTGATGACACCCTCGGTCGTAAGATGACGGGTAGACGATGACAATGGCGCAGTCGATAGATAGAGTTGATGTGGTAGATAGAGTTGATGATTAGTTGAATGCCCATGGCGAAATCCAAACTGCTCATCTGCAAAAATTGAGATCGTATTGATGTGAAGCATCATTCTATTTAAAATTATCTTTTCAAAAAGTTTACTTATTGAAGAAAGCAAACTTATTGGAAGCTTCAGCTGAATTTTTATCCGGCTTCAAAATTGGAACAACTTTTACATTTTTCCATTTATCAGGAAAGTATGCCAAATGGAAACATCTGTTAAATTAATTTACCAAGAAAGACAAGATACTCTCTGGGAGTTTTTTGATGAGGATATAGAAAATTCCATAATTACCTGGAGCTTTCACATTATGAAACTTTTTAGTTATAGACCTTACTGTCGTGACCGGACCGAGGTTTCCAGGATCTGTCACGGCTACACGAATCTCGGCTGATCTGCTTCCTTCCACTGCTGCCGGTATTTCTGCTGCTGCTGCTGTTTCTGATGCAGCTGCTGTACATCCGTTGCTTTCAACAATCGTCACAAGAATGCTTCAACGAGCTCAGCTAGCCCGTATTTGTACCCTACTTAATTTCCCCTTCTTTACACAGTGTTACCATAGAGGTAACTCTAAGACCACTGGGTCTGGGAAAATCATTATTATTTTTGGCTCACTCAGTACCAGAACAACGGTCCCAAGCAGTCCCAAGCTATTTCACTCACCCCTGCATGTTCTGCATGAATCCACACACCCCTGATGTTATCTGTCAAACTTTCATAGCGAATCAAAACAAACATAGTGTAGTAATAGAATTTCAACTAGAATAGGGTACGTTAATCGTTTGCTTGGGACCAATAGGCTACTAAAGTGGTGAGCCAATTTAAAATCGTTAGTTTCGTATTGATTGTTGGTGTTACTAGCTGTTTCGGGATTTCCCCTCATGAAGTAATGGGATTTTGTTCTTATGCTCTCTTTTCTACTATCACCTCTGCCATGTTCCATGCTAACTAGATTCTGCTCATATTGAATGTTTAATTACTTAATTTAATTCTCAAATTGTTGTGCCTTCAAATAAAGTTATCATTTATCATTATTATTCCACATCAACTCTATCTACCACACTACCAGTTACCTCTATGACACTACTATGTTACCTGACTTATAACGAATATATGTTGTATACGAGTACCCCGAATACAGCGTATAGTTTGCCATATTGAACATTGCTAATGCTATGTAAAATTAGACGAGACATACTGCACGGTGTAGTGTGTCTATAGACCTTTAAAAAACCTAGAAGAAAAAGATAAAGTAAATAAAGCGATATTCCATTGCCATTCCACTGAACGAACAAGTTGTTCTTTCTACGGCTCTCAGTATTCATCAAGAAACACGTTTAAGCAATGTGGAGCAAATTTTTCAAAGTTTGCATCAGTCTATTGTGGAGCCTAATCTATTACCTCATTTTAGTCGAAACGCAGCTACAGAAAATTCGAGCAGTTGCCATGCATGACGCAACCCTGCTGCTGACGTCATTGTTGACTCGGCGGAGCTGTCACGCCATTTTCGCCTTGGCCGAATAATGATCTGTGCGCCTATACATGTGATCAGAGCTGCCAGGTGGTTTTATAAAAAATCTGTATCCACTCTATTAAAAAATCTGTATTTTCTGTATTGACGATTTTTTTCTTAATTAATCATGTTTTATTGTTTTACAAATACAGTGCATACAAAATAACCATAAAAAGTGCTTAAACCACCTATTCGGGCTATCGTACTAACCATACGGGATATAATTGCGCCATTTGTGATATCGTCCGTACTTATTTATAAGAGTGATATGAAGCCGTTTGAAAATGTATGGAAATTTTAGTTTCTATTCATTATCTTCCTGATAAGCAGTTTTAAATGCAAAAAAGTGCACGAGTTCATTACTATTTGATATTTTTAATATAGATGAATACAATTAATTACATCATTTGTGTGGTAGATATACCGAAAAGTTGAGAGATGTCGCCCCGCCAGTGCTGGTAAAATCATTTTTGCAGTATGGAGAATATCAGAAAATCCGCAATTTCTTACGAAATACATTTTCAATGCAAGTAAAATGTTTACGAGTACTTGTATTTGTACCATTTTAATGTGCTCGGGCACTTTTCTTGTATTTAACATACATGCTTATATTGGAAATATTCAATTAATACTGTAAATCCCCATACAATCAAAAAAGTTATTTTGTTTTTATAAATTTTGAATTTTTTTTTTCTCAAGCATTTTATAAAAATCTGTATAAATCTGTATTGTAATTTAAAAATCTGTGATAAATCTGTATTCTGTATCGGGTCTGTATTAAGATTAAAAAATCTGTATAATACAGATAAATCTGTATAAATGGCAGCGCTGCATGTGATCCAACGTCAGTGTGTTGTGTTGGTGCGCCTCCTTCACGGGCTTCCCGGCTCTCTGCGATAGCGCTCGTGTACAAGTGGAGGAAAACAAACAGTGATTACAGGAGATCACAACGTGTTTTGCTTTCATCCAAGAGCCTCGATAGTGTGAGTGAAAGATTTGCAAAAGAAGTGTACTCCCTCCCAACACAAGCGGAGCTGCACCACTTTAGTAGTTCCTCGCGTACGCATACACTCTGTCTAGTAGTATCCTCAGCCCATGTCCAGTCGTCGTCAAGTCCATCGAGAAACGAGTGTTCGGTCGCTTTTATGCATTTCAATGGAACTCCGCTACCCATTATAATGTCGGGGTTGCTGCTGTAATTATTTTCGAAAGTTTAGAGCGCATAGTTAGGTAGTGCGTCCTGCTGCCCCCGTCCCGTGTACGCGTTTATTGTTGTGCAAATTTTCGTGTGATTCGGAATTCGAATGGAAAAAGGCCGTCGTCGTCGATGAGCGTCGCCGTCCGTCACCGCCGTCGTCGTCGTCGTGTTTCTTTTTTCCCTTGTTTTGGGTGTGCAAAATTACGTGTCCGACTCCGCTCGTTGCTGCCGTATCCGTCGCCGTAAAGAGCTGTAAAGTGGTCAGGGGCGTGCGGTGTTTGTGAATTACTGTGGATGGTGTGTGGAAAAGCGCTCTGAAAAGCAGCCAGTGAAAATGGAGAATACGAAAAACAACTCCAGCAGCACCAGTGGCAAAAGTGAGAAAATTACCAGCGGCCAACCGCAGGGGAAGGGTTCCAAGCTGAAGCGAGCCTTCTCGATGTCGCGCAATCCATTTCATTCGGTGTCGCGACAGACTGGCAAGAAGGCAGTGGAAAAATCCGGAACTGGAACACCAGCAGCAGCGACGATGACGAATGCAAGCGTCGTGACCTCGGAACAAAATTCCATCAACAGTGGAGGTGGAGGCGGTAGAGAAGGAAGAGGTGGCGGAAATGGCACTGATCCGAAGGTGCAAGGCTACTCCGAGGCCAAGAGCGGTTCAGAGAAGAAAATCTTTCGGCGCTTATCGGTGAAAAAATTCATCAATCGCATTGCACAACAAATGACATATGTCAATCTGGCTGTAAGTGGTTCCACGCTCAATTTTTTTTCGATTGTTTTTGTGCAGTTATGGGTTAAAGGGTGGAGGGAGGGAAGGTTGTGGAAATCGAGAAAAGCCCGAGCAAAACGAAATGGAAATGTACGAAGCTCTGGTTGGTTTGATCTGCAATTGGCGACGAAGATGCAGCACTGGATAAGACGAATTTTGGTAGCGGAATGTCATAATTAAAGGTCCTAGACACGCCTCTCGTCGCACAGCTTCTTTAGAATGGGTTATCATAATCATAGTGCGATATACACAGGGAGTGCTCTCAGTCTCAACTTGAGGGGGCGACTCTCAAGTAGCATATTGCAAAAGAACTCTATCAAGCGTGTGTGACGGCCTATCATCTCTACGGTGAGCGAACCGATTCGCGTCCACAGTCGTACCGTATATTGTTTAACTATCCAAAACCTGCTCCATCACCCTTCTGCGAAACGAATGTGTTGTAGTTTCATTTCGCTGAAAGATGGGTAAATATTGCAACGTCAGAACGCGCCCGACAAGGCGACAATGGATGGGAGGAGCGGATGATTACGCCGCGCGTTTTGCTGAAATATAATTGACCTTCTTCGCTGATTGCTCCCAATCAGCCACAATTGGTCGCGGACGAGGGGTCGGACGATCCCTTCCTGTCGGTTTGGTGACATTCCGCCGCCGAACACGAACTTGTGAAGCACTGGACATGGAAGGTAGCTACACAACCAGATGGGTTGGCTCGTAAATCACACCTTGGGGAGATATATTTACAGCAGCGCGCCCCGCAAAATGGTATCGTGTGCGGGATGGAATCATTTGGGCGGGTAAATTCGGTGAAGGTTACATGCTAGATAGATAAAAAAAAAAATAGTTGAAACACCGGATTGCGATGCATGGCACAAATGGGATAAGAGGAGATTTTCAAAATTTTGATCGACATTAAATCTCGAAAAGCCTCCATCAGACGGAAGATGGAAGTCAATCGAAAGCTTGAAAGGAGGATTTCCTGAAGTTCTGCGAATATTTTCTCAGAATGAATCACAGTTAGGAATTATTAGATTCGACTGAATGATTGCAGAATTCTGGGTTGGATGCGTCTGAACCCTAAACGGGATCCGTTTGAATCTACACAAGATTTGTCTAAACCTTAGGCGGGATTCGTCTAAATTCCGAACTTTCATTAACTTCTCTGCGTGTGTTTTCAACCAGCAACTCACTTTTGAGTTGGCGAAAATTCTATGCGATCCTGGACGGGATTCATGTGGATGACAGATGCGATTCTTTTGAATCCCAGGTGCAAGACAATTCGTATGAAACCCAAACGAGATTCGCCTGAACTCCCAAGTTCCAATTTCCGCGAGAATTAAAAAAAAATCAGATTGATTCGTTAGTCTAAGATTGAGATTTTGATGTGACCCCCTGCGGAGTAAATTGAATGAAATTTTTGGAGAAAATCGAAAAAAAAAATCCGAAGAAATTTGAAAGGAACTTTTACGGGAAGTTAGATAAAACATTCTAAAGTCTGACTAAAATTAAGTTGATACGCACAAAAAAGACCTGTAATTCGTGATTCAATAAGTTTAAAAAGTCCATTAATGGTTGCTTTAAAGTACTTTCATTAAAACTTCAAAGTTACAGCATTAGATGGTTACATTTCTCCAGTTCGAACGAAATCTCGAATGTTCCACTTGATGGAGCCCATCAGCGCCCGCACAGTGGAATCGGACACGGAATCAGCGCGATTTCTACCATTTTGCCGCATTTGCTGGATGTTCTTGACTGCCCTGCCGCTTCATCGAAGTCGCTTTGCTTTGAAATTACCCAGTATTTTTCGATTGGTCGAAATTCCGGGCAATTATGAGGATTCATTAGCTTGGGGACAAAATCGATCTTGTTGGCAGAATACCACACCAGAACCACCTTGGAGTAGTGGCAGCTGGCCAAATCGGGCCAAAATATGATTTTGCCCCTATGCTTGCGGATGAACGGCAATACACGCTTTTTCAGGCATTCTTCGATGTAAACTTGGGATGTCATCGTCGAGGATGCGACGAATGGTTCCGGCCGCAACTGCAAATCGCTTGCCAAATAAAAACTTTTGACCGGAAAGCTGCTTAAAATCGAGTTTGACGTATGTTTCGTCATCGATTAAAGTGCAGCCCTTGTGTTTCATCAAAACACGGTCGTACAAGATCCTTGCATGCTTTTTGGCCACCGCATTCTGCTTCATGTGCCGGTTCGGATGTTTACTGGCTTCGCAAGACTTGTATCCTTCCCTGGCAAGGATGTTCCGCGCCGTTTGAAAGTTGGCATTGTACCTTCCTGCCACATATCGGATCGAAGAACCGGGGTTGGCTTTAACGCACCTCAACGCCTTGCTGCGCAGCTGACGATCCCTGGCTTCAGTTTTTTTCGTAGGTCCGCTGATTCCTTTCCACACTCACGGTTTCCTTGTAGGTTTTGAGCCCTCGACAAACTGTTGTTTTCGGCATCTTCAGCACTTTAGCCAGCTTGGAACGGGGCCACTCCGGATTTTGCCATTTGACGTTATTTCTGAACGCGATCGACTACTTTGATCAAACCTGCACCAGTTGTTTGCTATAGAAGTGTAAACAAACCACGCACGAGGGGCGGACCCTTAAGAGGAAGGAAAATCTCTTCTGGAGGAAATTGGATGAACTTTCCAGGGAAAGCTTGCACACTTCCAGGCAGCGAATTAGTTGATGGGTTGGCGAAAACGGCCCCCGCCAAGAGCGATACGAAATAGGGGCGCCTAGCAACCTTTCATTGACATTCAATCGGTGGGATTGAGAACTTCAAGGGAATTATGGAAAGTATCCGTAGTATTCCAATTCTGAATATAATTCAATAGATTTTACGAGGAGAACTACAAGTGAATTCTTTAGAAAATTTCATTACATGGGAATTGTTAGGAGGATTCCATTGAGATTGTATCGAGAATCCCATGAACATTCCGAAGGGGATTCTGAGTAATATTTCAATGGAATTCCGAGGATAATTCCAAAGGATTTCCGACCACAATTCCTCGAAAAATCTGACAAGAGCTCTAAAGAACTCCGTTAAGACATAAATTCCAAGAAAATTGCGATAGTAATTCAAGGGATGGTAGCGAGTCACTTTTTAGTGACCAGTCACTAAAGTCTTCTTTTTAAAGGCTATGTCACTAGAGTCCCTTTTTCTTGTAATCAGTCACTACTTTCAACTTTTTTTTAGCGTGAATTTATTTCAAGATTGATAACCTCGATATAACGTAACTGTCACTTTTGACTTCCACCGTCGATATCTCACAAATAACAATTCAATTGATGAAGGATTGTCTCATATCTCTGATGGTGTTATTTCTTTGTTGATTCAATGATTGTTAGCTAGCAATCAACGATGGAAGTCAAAGGTGACAGTTACGTTATATCGAGGTATACCCACTGACGAACCGACATGCCACAGGAGCATTTCGTTTGTCCACAATTCGAATTGTCAAACGAGCGATTCGAACTTTCAAACGGGCAATCAGATCTGTCAAACGAGGTGAGACGCAAACCATGGCAATATAAATTATACAGTGGTTCGTGTCCTTGCTCATGGTATGACGTGACGTGTTTAACGTATTTTAAATATGGCGTCTTGAGCACGAATTTGAAAGTAGCTTGTATGAGCTGTCACGTAAGTTCGTCGGTGGTATACCTGTAGCACTGACGAACCGACATGCCACTAGAGCATTTCGTTTGTCCGCAATTCGATTTGTCAAATGAGCGATTTGATTTGTCCAACAGGCAATCATATCTGTCAAACGAGGTTAGACACAAATCAAGTCAATATAAATTTTACGTGTGTTCGTGTCCTTGCTCATGATATGTCGCGATCGGATAAGTAGATGGCGGTAGTGTTTAACGTATTTTAAATATGGTGTCTTGGGCAAGATTTTGAAAGTAGCTTCTATGAGCTGTCACGTCGGTTCGTCGGTGCCTGTAGTCCAATCGATGCCTTATTTTCGAACGATTCGAAGGTGTTGTGTTTTCTATAGATGGTTTTTGACGTTTAATCGTCTTTCTTTAAGAACCTCAAAGCAGTTCTATTTGCTTCCGAAAAACTTTTTAGAAGTTCCTAGAATTTCAGAGAACTTCACCGGTGTCATGATAAGTTCAGAAACATAGAGAATTTAAGGAAAATTGTTGAAACTTTTAAGAAGTGCTAAATAGGGGAAATGGATTTAATGTCGGACTAAATGTTCCTAATTTGGGCCCATACATAAATTCAGCATGCGACTAAATTGTCAATAGCGACCAAAAATATCCATTAGTTCCGTCCCAATGACGCGTTCATCTAGATAAAATTGATAGATAGCAGATTTTTAGCGAAGGGCCCAATCTTAGATCCATTGGCCAACATTAGAGCCATTGCCCAGAAAAGCTAGATCTGGAAATCTTTGTGAAATTTCATAAGCGATCCCCACACGTATCAATATATTGACGTGCAGAGGAATTATTTACAATTAAATATTGATGATTTGAAGACAGCAATATTGTCAATACCGATGTATTGACGTCAATATAGAATGTATTACTAGATGTATTGACAATACGATTATTGTCAATAAAAGCAATCGTGTAGGGTCCACTATAGATCTTAAGGTAACTTTAGTCCAGGCTTTTGGAGCAGTTTAAAGATCTTTAAGCAAGAGTTTAGAAAAAAATCAGGATAGTTCCATGATGTGCTGAAAAAAAGGTTAAGATGTTCCCAGAATTTCAGGGACAGAGACCTTCAGAGAATTTATGGTAGCTTTAGAAATATTTCAGGAACTTCACGGAAGTCCAGTGATTTTCAGGAAAGTTTAAAGCTGTTCAACGCAAAACCGCGATCTTCAATAGAATTGAGAGCTTCAGGGAATCAAATTGCAGTAATTTCAAGAAAATTGCAGATACATTAAAGAACGTAAATAAAAAATATAAGAACATCCGGAAAATGTAAGAGTATTTTAAAGTTGT